GTTCTGAGACATGACCAGATGGAATCTGTTCCTAGCATGGAAAAACAAAACAAAACAAAACAAAACAAAAAAATAACCTAGAGAACATATATGAAAAGCTACAACTATCCTATATAAAAAGTGAGGTAAAATTAGAATTTTGAAGTCATCCTAATTATGTATGTTTAATGCTTGGGTTCCACATATTTGATCATTATTAATACACAGTTCATGAACCTATGAGGTATAAAGAAGTAGGATGCTACCTAGAGTTACACTGGGGATTTTACTTAGTACTGTTCATTTGGATTAAATAGATTAATATTACAAATAAATATACATAAAGCTGTCTCTTTTTTTGTGAAGCTACAGAACATGATAGTAACATTGTTAAGGGGAAGAGATGTGAAATTAAGATCTATGAAACTTGGGCTTTTGGGCATTTCAGCTCTCCCAGGATCTTGGTGTGGAACGGAGTGGGAAAGCCGGCTTTTTAAAAATCTCTTTATTTAGACAAGATCTGCTGTTCAGCTTTCTCCATTAAGCTGGCCTCTGTTCAGTTCATTCAACAAATGTTTATTGAGCGCTGCGTGCCAGGCACTGTTCTGAGTTTGGAGGATGCAGCAGTGAGCAAAACAGACAAAGGCTGACATGGTGATCACTGCTCTGGAGAGAAAGAAGACAGGAGTCCTGGGCGTGGTTGGCAATTTGGTCCATTTATGATGTTAGAAAGGGTGTTATGGAAGGCCTCCCTGAGAAGGTCACATTTGAGCCAAAACCTGAAGGATGTGAGGAAGCAAACCATGTCTGGGAAGGAGCGTTCCAGGAGGAAGGAATGCAGAGGCCCTGAGGCAGGAACAGCCAGAGGCTAGTGTGGGCGGAGTTAAGAGAGAGAGGAGAAAAGTAGCATGAATGATGTCAGAGAACGGAGAGCAGGAATCCAGTTCGCATAGAACCTCATCCTGACCTTGTCTCCTCCTTCATTTCTCCTCACTCATAACTTCTATTCTGATTGAAATAGCAAGCAGAGGAGGGTTGTAATTTTACATATACTTCAGAGAGATCTTTCTGGCCTATGTTTTAAGAATACAGGCCTCATTTTATTACACTTGGCTTTATGGCACAGATGTTGTGTTTTTTTTTTTATAAATTGAAGGCAAGACCCTTCACCAGCAAAAAAGATTGCGACTCACTTTATTGTGATTCTCACTTTATTGTGGTGGTCTAAGATATGAATATAGATTGAAAGCGACAAAAGAGCAAAAAACGGGGAGACCAATAAGTATGCTATTGCAGTAATCCATCAGAGAGGGTGTGAGCCTTAACTAGGTGCTAGAGGTGGAAGTGTTGAGAAAAGGTTGGATTGTGGATATGTTGTAAATGTAGAGTTGATAGGATTTCTTGGCAGATTGGGTTTGTGAGAGAGAGAGAAACATCAAGGTTGACTCCAAATGGTTTGGTCCCAGCAATTAGAAGAATGGAATTGACATTTAATGAGATGGATGAGGCTGATGAAGGAGAAGATTGAGGGAAGGGAAAATTGAGACTCATTCATTTGAAAGCCTCTTAGGTATTTCAGTGGAGAATTAAAATGCAGCATAGATAACACCTGCCTCAGTTGGCTGAAAGAGTCTGAATTTCTGAGGAGAAATCAGGGTATTGATGAAAGCTTGGGCGTTATGAGCATATGGAGGGTATATAAACTGGCCCAAATCACCAACAGAGTGAGTGTAGATATAAAACAAGAGTCCACAGGTGGAGCTTTTGAGAATTTAGTGTTATAAGGTCAGGCGGAAAAGATAGATCAGATTGCAAAGGAGCAGCCAGTGAGGTAAGAAGTTTGCAGCATCCCAGTGAGCACCTGTCCATAACTGATAAATATTTGTTGGATGAATATTGGATAAAGAGTGAGTCCTGGACGCCAAGTGAAGAATTTAAAAGAGGAGGGAGTGATCAGCTGGATTATAAATGTTGCAGATGGGCCACTTAAAGGAAAATGAGAATCAGCCTTTAGACTGGGCAGCGTGGAGGTCATCGGTAACGGGACAACATCACTTTTTGTGAAGTGGTGGGAAAGCAGAGGCAGGTGTTATCTGTGCTGCACTCTGTATAAACTTAAATTGGGGAAATTTATCAAAACAAAAACCAAATATGAAAGAAAATCAAATAAGAGTTAATGACTGTGGTGAAAGTTTCAATTTAATAAAGGCAGAGTATTACAGTTATAATCATCACTTCCTGCTTCAGAGAGTTGAAGATAAAATACAAATGATGACTTTATATCTGTTAATAGAAACTTATAAAATTGCAAATTAAAGGGTTCAAGATCTATAATCCTAAAGTACAGTGAGAGTGAGATGTTGTGCTTTGAATAATTTTTTTTCTGTTTTGATAAGATAAAAGTATTTCTATCTGATGACAATAATATTTAGAATAATGGTTAACAATTTACTGAATGCTTGCCATGTACCAGACACTGTCTTTGGCCTTTCACATATAGCGTCTCCTTTACTACTTTTAACATACAAGTTATTGTCACCAACATTAGAATAAAAAACAGGTAGGTTATGTAAGTTATTCAAGGCCACAGATCCCATCCCCTGAGTCACTGCACTCCCCTGCATTGCAATATGTGCATAGGGTTGACAGCTTTTATTATTTTTATTTTGTACATTTGGTGGAAAGTTGCCATGGATTAGTGGCAAATTATTGTGTGTGCTGACTAATTTGGAAGTAAGGCCTTTTAAAAAATACTGGTTTAAGTCACTTGTTTATATTTTAGGCACTGGTTTCTTTACTGAGTAGCTCTGGGCAAAGAGAAAATGTGACATGTTCCCGCGAGGATTTCTGTTAGATTGGTTAGACAAATCTGTTCTTTTAAAAATGTTAGTGTAAAAGGCATGACAATTATATTTTTTAAAAATATATTTTAAGGGTAATTGTGATTTTGAATCAAATTAGGAAGTTTTATTTTCATACATGTGCATGTATATAGGCTATGTATATATGTGCATGTATGTAATAATATATGTGTGTGTGTGTGTGTGTGTGTGTATATTTAGTTCAATAGCCCAACCTTTCCTTCTCTAATACTTTTTTTTTTGGTAAGAGAACATTTATTTGGTAAATCACAGAGGTAGAAGAAGTAATTCCTACAAGAAATGGGCTTAAGAAAGGAGTTATGGAGGTAAAGGAAGGGCCTTTGGAGCTTGGAAGTGAGGAAGCTCATGGTACAGTACCTGGGGCAGGGAGGGCTTGCCTCTCAGTCCTAAGGGTTTTAAGGTGGGGCCTTGCTCTCATGATGACTATTGGTGAGAAATTGGGACAAGGAGAGCAAACAAACACATAGAAGTAGTTACCTGATATTTATTTCCTCTCTCATTTTAAGGCAGTAAATTGTAGTATGCTTCTAGTTCAGCAAAGTTCCCTGGAAACTTCATTTTAAAGTCAACTGCATGTTCCCATGGAAACAATGTTCTAATTAGTTGGTGAGTAGAGTCTGACCAAGGACTTTTGCTGAATAATTTACTCGGGTGTTTACTCTGTTCCTGGAACTTTGCTAGCCACAGGGCTATAGAGGCAAATAACACTTGGTGTCTCCCTTCTCTTGGGACTCCAGTCTGGGAGAGAAAGAGATGTATTTAATATTCACTACTTTGGCAGAAATGTTGTATTGAGAAATGTCTAGTGGGGTTTCTAAAGTATTAGTGATTCTATGAATCACCTGGGTTGCTTGTTAAAGTACAGTGCCTGGTGCTAAGTCAGAAATACCTATTCATTAGATCTGTGGTAGGGCCAGTACTCTTTTTTTTTTTTTTTTAATTTCCTGGATGGTGTTGATGGAAGTGATCCACGGATAATACCCAGAAATAGTGTGTTCTTTAAAGCGTAGGGAGTTAGGAAGACTGCATAGAGGAGTTAATTCTGAAAGAGGGTATTGGTTTCTTTAGTTTCATCAGAAAGTGGAGTGTGTGTGTGTGTGTGTGTGTGTGTGTGTGTGTGTGTGTGTTTGGGAAAGGATCTCCCAGACGAGGACAGATAGCACATGAAAAGGAGAGAGAGAAAGAAAGGGAGGGGAGGGGAGGAGAGGAGAGGAGAGGGGAGGAGAAGAGAGGGGAGGAGAGGGGAGGAGAGGAAAAGAAAAAAGAGAGAAGGCTACCTGGAGTATTCTGGGGGTAATGGAAGACTTGGGGGTGAGGCAGACCATCTTGTCATAAAAATTGTATATGACTGGTAGTATTTTACAATACAGGACATATAAAACACCTCTAATATTTAAAAATAAGCAAGTTCTGCTCTAAGTCTCAAATAGTCAACCTAAATGTACCCTATATTTTGATTACTAAGGACATCAAAGGGCCAATATAAGACACCTAAAGGACAAAAACTAGGCTGTAGTATAAATCTCTCCTCAAATTCATGTACCAGCATAATTTGCTTGCAGACTAACTTTCTGGACTTTAGGTATCTGCTTTGAATAGCCTATTCTTAAAAAGAGATTTTTAAAGAAAATTGAAATTGCTAACGTCTTTCCATCTTGATCATTTTTCCTGGCACAAATGAGACTTTCAGAATACCTCAGTTGATGGGAATACGGAAAGTACCAGATTCCAAAGAGGTAAAAAATTGTAGAAAGCAGTGAGACAGGCGAGTTAAGTCTCAATTATGCAATACAAATTGGATGCATCGGTGAGAAATAGGTGAATTCAAGGGGTTACTTAAATATTAATTAAGCAGTTAGTATTATTTTAAAATCTTTTATTTGCTCATTTGGTTGACATATTAAACTTGTGGATTTTTGACCATTTTACCAGGTTACTTTGGTAATAATTAATAGATAAGTGCTTTTAGAGAATTCTTTTTGTCACTCAGTGCTTTTTGTTGTTATTTTGAAATCATGGTAAATTATATGTCAACCATTAGTTTTGAGGTGCCTTGTGATACTATTATTTCAAACTACCAAGAGTACATCTTTACTTGACTTAATAATAGTACTATATGTATTAAACGGCGTGTTTTTAGAACATCTGTTCTATATATTTCAAAGCAAGAAAATTTCTATTTTTAAGGTGGTGATTTCTATTTTAAAAGGTATAATCTTTCAAATTATATTCTGCTGCACAATACAGATTCTTCTCATCTTATTTTTTTAAGGGTCTGAAAAGCCCTCCAGAGAGCCTCAGTGATCTTGGTGCCATTGAGAGTCTCCGCGTCCCTGGAAAGGTATCGATCTACATGTGTGAGCATGACGTTTTGCTTCCTTAAGCGAATATTATGGTCTTTGGGTAATAATTGATTCACAGATGCTTTTCCTTCCCACAGTCAGATGATGGTTATAGTGAACTAGGTACATTCTATAGTACAGGAGCCTTGGGGCTCGTTTTTGCTTCCGTTACTCATTGGGATGAAGTATAATTCATTATAGTTAAGCAGCAAATGCGGAGTTGACAAATTTAGATTTCACTATTATATTAAATTCTTAGCCTGAAAGCAGTTATGTGTGTGTGTGTGTCTAAGTGTGGAGATATCTATCTATCTATCTATCTATCATCTATCTTATTGATTTATCTGCTGTAATTTGGAGAAATAAAATGAAATAATATACATCTGTGCTGTAACACTCTGAGCCAAAAATCATAGTTAATTATGTTTTTGTTACGGAGGAGAGAGTTTTGAATAAGTAACTAAAGCATAACTTATACCAAAGTACAGATATCTTAGAATTTAGTCCCCTGATACTCATGTGAGCTGCTCAATTTATAAGTTCTGTAGGTGTTTTTGAAGGCTCGCTGACTTCCCCTCAGGAGATTTATTAACCATTGTGAAGTAAATAAATCCCTGTGGGTTCTCTCTGGGTCCTTGCCACTTGGAGCTGCCTCCTTGAATAGCAGCACCATCACAGATCAAAGCTTGTTCTTCTGAATGTACGCTCTTGTGATTTTCAATTTGTGGATCATACGTATTTGAAACGATGGTTTGTTTCCTGTGGCTGGCATTGGCAGTCAGAAGGCCTCTTGTCACACCTCAGTGTCAGCTGTTTACGGGGATAATCCCCCATCTCTTGATTCACTTTACCTCCCAAAGTGAATTTTGTATTTACTGCTTAGTCTTTATTTTAGGTCTGACCCAAACTAACTCTCCAAATATAATAACATTCTAGCCAACCTTTTTCCATTAAATGGCTCAGACAAAAACCTTCAAGAGGCATTTTGAATAGTTTTTTGTAATGTGGCAACATTGGGAACTAAGAGATAAACTGTAAATCCTAATAGACAAATAATTCTCTTTATTTCTTTGACCTAAGAAATAAAGATTATCATGCATTATGAACATACTTTGAATTAGATTGCCTTAGATATTTCATAATTAATGCAAAATTGATAACTGAGCCTCTTTTTTTTTTTAAAGCACATAACTGTATTGCCTAAGAACTTTCTGTTGTCTTTAAAACATGAGCCATGATATTCTTCCAGTAATGATAGGAAGTGAATTTATGATGCTCTTACTACACGGCCTTCTTACTGCGTTCCCACCCTTAGCCCCCTCAGTGACCAGTGGTGTGTACTTTTCAGATGACTGGCGCTGGGTAGAGAGACAAGTCTGGGATCACAAGGTCAACAACTGTAAAGGCTGGGAATTGGTCTCATTGACACATACTAAGAAGCTAAGTTAGTTAAATTGTAAAAGTTAATAGTAAAATCAGTATTAATGCTCTAAGCTTACGTTTGGCCTTACACTAAGAAAGCCTGTTTGTTCTCCTGAAACATCACAAGTGCTGCAGGGTGAGCCGACTGCTGCCTTCTACTCTGGGTAGTTTTGAGAACGTCAGAGTTATTGAGTGGCAGAGCTCTAGTTAGTAGACTAAGTTTGATATAGGTGCAGTTGGCAGTCAGTTTTGAAATTAAAAGTTAAGAGGACTTATGTTCAGAAATTTCCTACACAGCATAGTGTGGGCTAGGGGAAATTTTCCCCTTTTCTTTCTCAGTTCTTCTGGCAGGTCTAATCCAGTTGACATGGGACAGATTAACAGGAGGAAACAATAACATTTATTAAGTTATTGGATATCTTAAAAATATGGGACTAGAGGACACATGGGGCAGTTGGAGCTTACATGACATCTTGAGCTAAGGAGAAAGGGGGAGTAGTGGTTGGGACATCAAAGGGCAGGAAGGTAATTCACGTTGGGATAGCAAAGCAAATGTTTGGTAAACAAATGTTTGCTGGGCCACGTTTAACAATGGGACACAGGACTGCGGTCAAATGGATCTTGCTAGGTTCCTCCCTGTATATTACACTTTGTTCATATTAAACTCAGTTATCTGTAATGATAGCTCCCTTCCTTAAGCAGGTCCTCTATTTACATTCTTTTGAGCAGTTAGGGGAAGGTCAAAGTGTCTTTCTGACTCTCATTTTCTTAAAAGTAACAAACTTAATCAGTATCCCAAAAAGGCATGTTTTAGGGTGGCAAACTCTGCTCCTCTCAATAGCTTGGTATAACTTGAATGTTGAGTATTTTTCATAACTTAGATGTTACCTTATAAGTAGGAGACTATATATATATATAAAATTTTTAATGAATCCCCTAAATTTATTTATCTTCTGGACTCTGTTTCTATACGTTTTGCTTTTTTAGATTCCACACATAGGTGATATGATACAGTATTCGTCTTTCTCTGACTTATTTCAATTAGCATAATGCATTCTCCATCCATGTGGCAAATGGCAGGATTTCTTTCTTTCTCATGGCTGAATTTTACTATTTCTCTCTCTCTCTCTCTCTCTCTCTTTCTCTCTCTCTCTCTCTCTCTCTCTCTCTCTCTCTCTCTGTGTGTGTGTGTGTGCATATTTTAATCCATTCATCCATTGACTTAAACTTAGGTTATTTCCCTATCTTGGCTATTGTGAATAATGCTGCAGTGAAAATGGGACTGCAGGTATCTCTTCAAGATCCTGTTTTTATTTATTTTTTATTGGATACCCAGAAATGGCATTGCTGGCTAATACGGTATTCCATTTTTAATATTTTGGTGAACCTCTATACTGTTTTCCATGGTGGCTGCACCAGTTTATAATCCCACCAACAGTGTACAGGGTTCCCTTTTCTTCACACCCGGCCAACATTTATCTCTTGTCTGTTTTATAATAGCCATTCTAACAAGTGTTAAGTGCTGTTTGTTTGTGGTTTTGATTTGCATTTCCCTGATGATTAGTGATGATATACATGTTAAAAAATTTATTTTTATATAATTTCTTTAAAATTAATGTTCTGGTTCTTGATGATCTGAACTTTATTGGCTTAAAAAGATCTTTAAAGTTTCAAATTATTAAAAGCACTGCAACAAAATATAAAATATTAATTTGAAATGACTATTTTAAAATAAAATTTTTATTTAATAAAACATTAATATGTAGTGTGAACAGAGAACATGGTAATCAGAAAAAGCACCAAAAAGAAAGTCACCAGTGTTAAGTCAAGGTTAACATCGCCTTCTGGTGTTTCCCCTGTGCATATTCAGTAAATTAGTTGAGCATTTACTATGCGCTCTATTCCCTAGGGACTGGCAATAGCAAGCAGTCTTTTCCAGAAAAACAAAAGTCTTATGTTGTCAGAGAGCTTACTTAGGTTCAAGTAGAGGGAAAAGAGTAAACACAGAGATTGCAAATTGTGACAAATTCTATGAAGAAAATAGGGTGATGAGATAAATTTCTTGAAGCTGGGGGTTATTTTGCATGAAGTAGTCAGGGTAGGAAGAACCCTCTTTTTTTTGTTTAAAAAATGGTATTATACAATATTTTGGAGCTTGGGTTTTAAACAATAAAATGTATTGCAAAAAAAATGCTTACATTATATTATAGTAGTATATATAGGTTTAAAACGCAAGCTACCCAGTAGTGAAGCTTAGGTAGATTTTTTTTTAACTTAATAATTTAAACCTGTTATAATGGCTGTTAACAAAAACACAGGGAATAACAAGTGTTGGTGAGGCTGTGGAGAACAGGAAACCTTGTGCACTGTTGGTTAGAATGTAACTTGGTGCAGCCACTGTTAAAAAAACATTATGGTGGCCGAAACCGGTTTGGCTCAGTGGATAGAGCATCGGCCTGCGGACTGAGAGGTCCCGGGTTCGATTCCGGTCAGGGGCATGTACCTTGGTTGCGGGTACATCCCCAGTGGGGAGTGTGCAGGAGGCAGCTGGTCGATGTTTCTCTCTCATGGATGTTTCTAACTCTCTATCTCTCTCTTTTCCTCTCTGTAAAAATTCAATAAAATATATTTAAAAAAAAAACATATGGTGGTTCCTCAAAAAATTAAAAAGAGGACTACCATATGATCCAGCAATTCCACTTCTAGGTATTTATCTGAAGGAAATGAAAACACTACATTCCCACGTTCATTGTAGTACTTTATAGTAGGCAAGATATGGAAACAATATAAGTATCCATTGTTGGATGAGCAGATTAAAAATATACACAATGGAACATTATTCAGCCATAAAAATGAATGAAATTTTGCCATTGGGACAACATGGCTAGGCCTCGAAGGCATTGTGCTAAGTGAAATAAGTCATACAAAGAAAGACAAATACTCTATGATCTCACTTCTTTGTGGAATATAACAGTAACAACACACACACACACACACACACACACACAAGCTCATATATAAAGAGACAGATTGGTGGTTTGCAGAGGTGGAGAACAGAAGGTGGGCAAAATGGGATACAGGGGAGGGGAGTCAAAAGGTATAAACTCCCAGCTATAAAATAAATAAGTTAAGGGGATGTAATGTATAGCATGGTACCTATAGTACAGCAAGAAAAAAATTCTGTAACTATGTATGGTGATGGATGTTAACTAGACTCATTGTGATGATCATTTCATAGTATTTACAAATATCAAGTTATTATGTTATATATCTGAAAGGAATATAATGTATTATCAGTAATACTTCAATAAGAAAATAGAACATTATCTTAGCTTGAGTTTCCCTGATATTCTAGTGCAAGAAGTAACAAGAAAAACAGTTTATGTTTTTTAAGTAGTCAATGTATAAATACTTATATAGAGAAACTTTTAATTTTTAAATAATGTATTGATTATTTTGAGAGAGAGAGAGAGAGATATCGATTTATTGTTCTACTTATTTATGCATTAATGTATGTACCCTGGTTAGGGATCAAACCTGCAACCTTGAAATATCGGATTCATGCTCTAACCGACTG